AATGACTTCCGCCATCTCCCTCAGCATCCCATCTTGCGCCGTACATACCAATGCAGCTTCTGCTGAACGCATCGTACTGATAGCCCATCTTGCAGTCACAGCGATACGCCCCGGGAAGATTATGACAAATCTGCCCTTCGCCACAACGGTGTACACCAGTTTGACATTCATCCACATCTGCAGGACCAGAGAAGGACCAGTTAAAATATAGTTTGCTGAAAATCAATGTTTACAAAGAGAAAATAAATTAATTAACAGAAATAGAAACTGTTGGGGTTGTCCCCTGGACAGAGCAGCAAGAATATCAGCTTCATCTACTCCGCTCTTCTCAGTCAGCTTTACACCTCTAAGTCAAACTTCTGAAAAGCAATACATCATTATTTCAAAAGTGAAAATGGTAACTTTAACTGCAATGGAGCTTTCCCAGCACATTCTGCTTTTCAATATAAACATGTTTTGATTCTGATCAAACCATGACATTTAAACACCCTATTCTGACGTTCTGCCGTTACGTGAGTCACGGCAAGCCTTTTACCGCAAAACAAAAACTAGCCAGAAATTCTGCTTCAATTAAAGCAATTGCTATTTTAATCTCCAGTTGCCCTTTCAATCTTGCTTCTGCTGCCTACCTTTTGCTCTTTCTCAGTGTTGATCTTTCTTCTTTTCCCAATCAACTCACATTCTGATATTCCTCATGGCCTCTCAGCCGAAATCCAATACCAACAAATCAGTTGCTTCTCCACTCACATGCATCACTTCCAATCTCATTTAAAAAATCCTCAGACGAAGATGAGAGTTTTCAATACACACTGATTTACAGAACTTGCAACATGACTAAATAGCTCATCAGTCTCTAACAAATCCCTGTTACCATCTGCCACAAGAAGCATCAAAAAGTCTGATTAACCTTCAGAAACTTGTATTTCTTCAAGCATTCTGAGTTCTGCCATTTCCTAAGCCATCAGGTCCTGCTTCCTTCTTATTATTCACATCTTCAACTGCTTTTACAACCCAAACCCCTGTTCATGTAATATTAATTAGGACAGTAGCCTAAGGCTGAAGGCTCTCCACACCGCCCTACTTGAAGTCATAAATTTGAGCACTATTTCATTTCAAAGGGTTCCTGGGCAGTTCTCCATCAAACAACAGCCCCATAAGGTGCTCTAGAAAGCAGTCACTGGCTGGGAAAATGATAGGGAGGTGAAAGCAAGTGACCTATCACAGACTCTTGGATTTGGAAAAGTGGAGATTACATCCACCCGGATGAGCGGCACAAGGAAATACCTGGTTCAATATTTCAGCACAGATTCCATCCTACGCTGTCTCTGCTGTCACCAGGGTTAGGGATGGCAGGGAATGACACTTGCCAGGCAAGGAATTCCTGGCAGGCTCATAGATTTCTGCTCTCCTCATTTTCTTTTAAGATCAGAGGTAGCAGCAAAACAAGGAGGTTTCTAATGCAGCTACAGATTTGTAAATCAGCAGTTTTATTTGCAATGAGTTCATGTATGCAGCCATTTCATTAGTTTGTCCAAAATTATATATTCCGTTGCATTCAGCCTTTACTTACTTCTAAGGCATTATACCATCAGAACTGTGTTAGTTACAGTAGTTTCCAGTTAAATGGAAGAGGTAGTTTTTAATAAGCCATTTACAAAATCTGAAAATATGAACATTTTAAAGAGAGATGAATCCTCCAAACACAGAAGATGACCATACAAGTGTAGTTCTGCTGGAGCAACATGTGCAGATGATGTATTTACTACTGCGAATGAATCTGGATCAGGAATCTAATTAGCTATTGTAATGCCTTAAAGAAACTAGTCTTTAGCATAGAGAGGGGAAATTAGGACCACATGCTTTTCTTTTTTCTTCTCCGTGCTCTCTGCCTACTTAAAGAAAGCCATACCAAAAAAATACCAAAAGAGTGCACACAGAAAAGACAGAGAAATCACCAATTAACCTTAAACATCTGTTTCCCCAAAATCAAACTGGAGAAGATTCCTTATACCTGCTCCTTATAAGCACTGTCAATGATGTAAAGACACAGTATCATCAGTAACTACAATACGTTATATGCTTTAAAGATATAAATGCTGTATGAATAATGGCAATCTCCTCCTCTGACACATATTTACACACAGTCACTCTTCTTTTAGGAACATCTGAGGGTGGAAAAAAGGTGGGTTCTTTCTATAAATCATCAGTTTGAAATTTAGGAAGATAATTTGCCCTAGCCTGAAAACAAAGGCTGTTAGCCCTACAGCCAGGACTTCTGAGCTGTTCAGTGATGACTGCTGACGTGCAAAAAAAATGGCATTCATGGAGATGTTGGCGTAGTGGTAACCCTAAAAACAATTTCAGGGTCACCACACTGCAGGTGGTGCAAACGTACCTAGCCCAGGTGACTTTGCTGGAACAGGACTGATTGACAGCAGCTGAAGAACTGTGTCTTTACAGCAACAGGACTTTTGGACCTTCACTTTGTGTAAGGCCTCTGACACGGTCCCCCACAACTTCCTTCTCTACACTGGAGAGCTGTGGAGCTGAGGGACAGACTGTTTGGTGGATAAGGAACCGGCTGATGGTGGCACCCAGAGGGTAGTGGTCAATGGCTCAGTGTCCAGATGGAGATCAGTGATGAGTGGTGTCCCTCAGGCTCCGTACCGGGACCAGTACTGTTTAGTATCGGGACACAGTGGGGTTGAGTGCACCCTCATCAGGTTTGCCAATGACACCCAGCTGAGTGGTGGGGTTGACATGCTGGAGGGATGGGATGCCATCCAGAGGGTCCTGGACGAGCTGGAGAAGCGGGCCCATGTGAACCTCGTGAGGTTCAACAAGGCCAAGTGCAAGGTCCTGCAGCTGGGTTGGGGCAACTCCTGTTGTCAGTACAGGCTGGGGGATGAAGGGATTGAGAACAGCCCTTTGGAGAAGGACTGGGGGGTACTTGCCAATATCCGGCCCGCTGGGATTGGGACGACATGCTGAAACATACCTAACCCACCCAGGTTTGCTGAAGTGGGGGCATTGCCCAGAGCAAATGTTACCGTGCTGTATACAAGCTCCTGATTTATTGTAAAGGATTACATAACCTCAGTTCTGCTTTTACATTGTGCTGACATTCAGGATTTGTCTGTGCTGTTGGAGTGGGGCCCGAGAAGAGACACAAAAATGATCAGAGGGATGGAACGCATCTGCTACGAAGAAAGGCTGAGAGAGTTGGGGACTGTTGAGCCTGGAGAAGGGTCCGTAGAGACCTGGCTGTGGCCTTTCACTGCTTAAAGGGGGCTTATAGGAACTATGGGGACAGAGTTCTCAGTAGGGCCTGTTGCCATGGGACAAGGGGTAATGGTTTTAAACTGAAAGAGGGGAGATTCAGACTAGGTGTGAGGAAGACGCGTTTTACGCTGAGGGTGGTGAGACACTGGCCCAGGTTGCCCGGAAAGGTGGTAAATGCCCCATCCCTGGAAGCCTTCAGGGTCAGGCTGGACGGGGCTCTGAGCAACCTGGTCTAGTTGGACATGTCCCTGCCCACTGCACAGGGGTTGGACTAGGTGACCCTTAAAGGTTCCTTCCCACCCAAACCATTCAATGATTCTATGATCCTGATTCTTCTAAAATCATTAGGCTGCTTGGACAGCAAATGCATACAGTAAATTCCCGTTCCTCAGATAACTTTAGGAACCTACAGGTAACTCACAAACTCTTTTTAGAACTGGAATGTACTTTTTCCTCCAAGAGGGCACCTCACCAGACACTGGTATCCGATCTTACCGATGCATCGCGTTCCTTCCTCATTGGAGTGGTAGCCTCTGCTGCACGTCAGCATGTTCCGTTGGCAGGTGTAAGACCCAACGGTATTGATGCAGTTGAATCCTGGTTTACACGGCTCAGGGAGAGATGTGCATTCATTAATATCTGGTGAAGAAAATGAATTAGAATAGTGAGAGAAGCTGTTTTCTTCCAGCTGTCACTTCTTGTCCTTCATTTCCATTTACTGTGCTACAAAGAGAAGGATAATGAAGGTCTGCTGTGGTAACACTTTCAAATTCAATATGCAAGTATGCATATATTTAGAAGGACAGCAATGTTTAAATTAAATTCACAGTGGGATTTGAGGAAAATTACATGTGGTCTATATACACCCCCTTGGACAGGTTCAAAGGAATAGGAGTTGGGCAGTGCTGCTGAACATATTGCAAAAATATTGCTGGTCACACTTACCAACGCAGTTTCCCTCAGGGTCCTGTAAAAATCCATCCATGCAGCGTTGCTTCGACTCACAGTAGAATGATCCTTCTGTATTCTGACAAACGAAGTTTACTTTACAGCTATGAGTTCCTCGCTCGCATTCATCAATATCTGTTAATCAGATCAAAACACCAATTTGTGACTAGTTAAGCTGCAATTTTCAATAGTCTTCATGACTAGTTTATAAATTCTTTTCTCAGAAAGGAAGCATCATTTAAACCCAACACCCAACATAGCCTTTGGGGAATCTGAGGTTTAGGCCTGTTTGCTCCTGGACATCCACTTCAGCACAGGCTTCAGAATTTGTCAGGTCCTGCGACAAATTCAATTCGGGTCCCTGCTGTGTTCACAGCATTTCTTGTAAACCACAAATACCGAAACATCTGCAGTTTAAAATCCTGAAGGTGGAAATTAGAACTAGGAATAGGGATGCATAATGTGCATACCACAGTCTTTCAAAAGCCAAATGGTCTCTTGTTCCTTATATACCTCAGGAATTCTAGGTCGAAACCTGCCTCCACTGAACTTAATACTAAAAGGACCTCTCACTTGAACTGGGCTGGGATTTCACTTTGTACACAGGGACACGTGTATATGTATATGTACTTAAGTACACACTTATCCAGCTCTGAAAAGTTTTTTGAAAAAAAAA